CCCCCCCCCCCCCCCCCCGCGGGGGAGAGGGGGGGGGGGGGGGGCATCCACCGTGGGGGGCCAACGACTCTAGGGGTGGATAAATACCTGGGAACTCCACCCCCTGGACGCCTCCGAACCCTAACGTCTTCAACTCGAGGTCCAGTCGCCAACTTTAAACCTGCTCTTCAGAGTTAAAGAAATGACAAATTTAACAAGGATTTTACATGTGTTTCAATTCTCTGACAATAAAACCCAGCTACAGAAATATTACTCACTCTGTCCGACTTCTTGGCTAGCTTTTAGTTAAGTTGTAGCTAAACTTTAGCTAGTTTTGAAGCTAGTCTGTTTTTGCTAACATTAAATTAGTGTTAGGCTATTTGACTTAACGTCCAGCTGTTGACAGTCAAACTGATAGTTAAGACTTTTTTTTTTACAACAAACATTTTAATCTAGACTATGACTAATTTCTTTTGTCTAAATTTAATGCAATTTGACAAACCTTTAGCTGTTCGTTAAGTCAAATGTCCTCTTTTAAGACGATCTGTACATTTTATTTTATTTTTTATTTGACTATAAATTATGTTTTTATTGAAATGTATTAATTTATTTTTGCCTGTTTAGTCTAATAATTACTTAATTGTTAATTAAACATTTATAAGTATCTTAGCATTTACTGCTATTCTGTTATCTTTTAGCTATTTTCTGCTCATATAGTAACACCCAGTGTAACTTCTAGTTGGTTTTACTTCTATTCAATAAAAAAATATTCAATTCTAATAATTCAACGTGTCATTTTGTCTATGGATTCTTATTTTGAAATTATTCGTATTCACATCGCAACACGTCGCAGAGCTAAAGTCATTTATCAAACGTGCGTTTCGTCAGACCGTGGCTAGATTAAAGCACTGAATTATTGGAAGCGATTAAGCGTCAGGCGGCCGTGATTGGCTGACTTAAGGCTAATGGGCCGCTCCCATCTCAGCTGAGTGAAGGCGTATTAAATCTGACAGGACGGACTTTACATTAATGCAGGAACATGGAAAAAAGAAAGGTGCAGCCGAAATTACAAATTGACATTTAGAATTAAATTTGGAAACACGTTCACTGACTACAGTGTGGTGTCAAAGGAAATCAACGAGTTTTTTACTTTACAAAACAATAATTTTATCATTATTTTAGATAATTTTAGGAACATCTAGGTCAACGTAGAGACATAGTTTTGCTCTAAGAGTTTTTATTTATTTATTCTCTTTTTAAATCTTTGGTAATTCATATTATGGTAACTTATTTTTAAGGGAACTCTAAAATCGTCGCTTTGTAAAATTATAATTTTGGCATATTATATTTATTCATATATTTTGTATTATTTATTAACATTTGAAAGAACGTTTTGCGCAACTTAAGACTCAGTTTATCGTATGTTATTATTTATCTGTTTGTAGTTTTTTTTTTGGCCAAATTATTAGCGATTTCTGTCACTATTTTTTTTCTCACCCCGTTGTGCGAACATTGCGGTGTCCTACCTGTGGTAGATGGCAGCTCCAGTCAACACCATGGAATAGTCGTTGGTCCATTTGGAGGTGTAGCCCCAGCGCTCCTTGTTGCTGTCCCAGAAGTGGCTGCGGGCGGGGTAACCAACTATCCTCTCAGGAAAACTTTGCCAGACAGTGAAAGCAAAATCCACCTAAAGAGAAAAACAAACCCGTTAATAAACAAATGATCTCATTTGCTGTGAACAAAATCATTGTTGACCGTTGTTGTGACCTGACATTTAAACAACGCATTATAATGACTATGACTAAATTGGTCAAAAGTTGAAAAATGTTCATGAAAATGTTTGAAATTGGTGATTTCAAAATGTTATGTTTTAAGTATGTTTCTCATCTAATTAAAGTATTCTGAATACTTAAAAAATTTGGAAAAAGATTTTTCTTTTACATTTTGAATGTTTTCTGTGAGATTGCTGTGTTGTTTGGATTCTGTTCTGTTAAACTTCTAAAAATTGAATAAAAAAACTTAACAAAAATGTTTGTATGTTTCTCATCAAATAAGGGCATTTAGAGAACGTTTTTAGAATATTTCTGTATAAATCTTTTGTCAAAATGTGACCTTTTCATGTCATGAAATGACAAAAATGTTTGTAAAATTATTTTTCAAAATTTTATCTTTTCTTGCACGTTTCTCATAAAATTAGGGCATTAGGAGAACATTTTTTGAAATTTTAATTAGAATTTTCTCTCAAAATGTGTACGGTTTGTGTCATTTTTGGT